CACCTCCCCTGCTCCCCCTCCCACTGCAGTCAGAGGACAGGAATCCTGCTGCACAATTTCTTGAAGAAGGAAGACAGATTATATGACTCATCTTTTTTTTAATTTCCTCTCCCGTTTCATTGTTAGGAAGGTCAGAAATAAATCAACAAAAGTATTAAAGGTGACATAAGTACAGGGAGAGTTCACAGTCGGGGAGACGCGTCTTCCCCCTGAATCACTCCTTTGTGCCTGGTGAAGCCATAACTCACGCACCACCCAGTGAGGCCTCTGACACACCGCATACCAGAGCATACCAGAGCCCCCGCGTAACACTGCAGCTGAGAAAGTGGGGCGGGAGGGCAAAGTTCACGCTTACCTCCCGACTGCAAGCTTGGTTTCACTTTTTCAGTCCCACTAGATCATTTCCTGAAAACACACAGCCTGGAGTTTCTCACCTGGTGATCTCCTGCTGCAGCTGTGACACCGAAGGTACATAAAACACGACTCCGAAGTAGACGGTGGGTTCCAGGGCGTATTTGTCCAGCTGCTTCTTCAGGGGCTTTTCCAAGTCCACCCACCGGCGCTGATGCTGCTTGTTGTAGTACCAGAGGCTGAAGTAAGTGACCTGGAAAGAGGGAAGGTCACTGAAGGAGGCAGGGATGTGCACAAGGGTTTCTATACTCTAATTGCTCTAATCCATGACCTGGGACCAAGTGACAGCAGTCTCCTATTGCTTCGCTTCTCAGAAAGGGACAATAGCAAAACCTGAAGGGGAAAAAAAGAGTCAAGACCTATCTATATCTAGATACTCGTATTTAGGGAGAAAAAGAGGCGAAAAGTCAACTACTCGTGCAAACTATTTCTTAAACTTTGCACACAAAAAAATGCCTTCATGGCCTAGATATCAGAATGTAGAGGGTGCTATGAAATTTTCCATACAGTTTTTAAAAAAAATATATACTAAAAGAAATGTTTAGTTTTTAAATTATTGAAATACTAAATTGATTAGAATTAATATTTTATAATAAACATAACTGGGGTCCTACCTAGTAGAATTCTGAATAGACAGTGTTCATCTAACCTTTCACTACTCTCAGTTTTGGCTTCTATAAATAAATAAGTTCATGTAAATACTGTAAATTCTAGTAATACTAATGCAATTGCAAAACTGCAACAAATCTTGGCCTCCAAAAGTTCATTGGATACAAACTTAGAGCAACTATAATGCCATGGAGGTAAATTCTCTCTCTCTAATTCCCTCTCTCTCTCTCACACACACACACACACACACACACGAAAGAAAAGTGATACCTAAAGCAGTAAAATAACTTAAGTGTATTACTCAGAGGTTTTTAAAAAATGCCCAGGCATTTAGATCTCACTTGCTGTGTAATGAATCTGTTCAGGTAAATCAATACTAGCACTGGGCTTGTTCAACCTGAAAGGGCATTAATGCACTTAAGGACTGAAATGACAGCCTTGGGTCACTGCTAATATTTACCTCTTTCCAATCAATTTACAGTCAAGGTAACTGCAAAAATCACTGCTTTGTTTTAACAGCGACACAATTAAACAGAACTTTACACGATGATGAAAATATTCTACATCTGTGCTCTCCAATACAGCAGCCACTAGCCACGTGTGGCTAATGAGCACTCGGGATGGAGGCTAGTGCAGATGAGGAACTGAATTTTTAATGTTATTTAAATATTTTGTGCAGAAGGTACTTTTTAAAATTTTATTTTTCAAGAGCGTTTAAGAAAACCCATAGCTAACATCATACTCAACAGTGAAAGACCGAAAGCTTTCTCCCTAAGATCAGGAACAAGACAAGCATGCCTATGTTCACCACTGCTATTCTTCACTGTATGGGAAATTCTAACCAGGCAAATACATGAAATAAAGGCATCCAGACTGGAAAGGAAGAAGTAAAACTGTCTCTACACACAGAAGACATGATCCTGTATATTTTAAAAAATCCCAAAGGTTCCCTCACCAAAACAAAACTACTAGAGCTAATAAATTCAGCAAAATTGCAGGGTATGAGATCAACATGCAAAAATCAGTATAGATTCTGTAAACCAGGAATGAAGAATTCAAAAAGAAAATTAAGAAAACAGTTCTATTTATAATAGCACCCAAAAGTATAAACATCTAGAAATAAATTTAACCAAGGAAGTGAAAATGCTTCAATACTGAACAATACAAAACATTGCTGAAAGAAATTAAATGGAAAGGCATACCATATACATGGATTGAGCACTTAATGTTGCTAAGAAAGCAAGGCTACCCAAAGGGATCTACAGATTCAAATGCAATCCCTATCAAAATTCCAACAGCTGTTTTTACAGAAATGGAAAAGCCAATTCTCTAATGCATATGGAATTGCAAGAGGCCCTGAAGAGCCAAAACGATATTGAAAAAGAACAAAGTTGGAGGACTCACACTTTCTGATTTTAAAACTTACTACAAAGCTACCTTAATTAAAATAGTAAGGTAGTGGTATAAGGAGAGACATAGAGACCAATGTTATAGAATGGAGTCCAGAAATGAAGCCACACATCTATGTCAACTGTTAGGCAAGAATGCCAAGATCATTCAGTGGAGAAATAACAGTCTCTTCAACAAATTGTTCTAGAACAACTGAAGTTAGGCCCCTACACTTCACACCATATATATGTAATTCAAGCTGGATCAACAACCTAAATATAAAAACTATAAACTCTCTAGAAGAAAACATAAGTCTTCACGACCTTGAAATGGATTCTTAGATATGACACCAAAAGCTTGCACAACAAAGGAAAAACGGATACATTTCATTTCATAAAAATTAAAAACCGTGTGCATCAAAGGACCAAATCAAGAAAGTAAAAAGGCAAACTATACAGACTGGGGGAAAATATCTGCAAATCATATTCTAGTATCTAGAATATATAAAGAACTCTTATAAAACAACAAAAGGACAACTCAATTTTAAAAAGGGCAAAGGACTTGAATATTTACCCAAGGAACGTATACAAATGGCCAACAAGCACATAACACATGCTTCACATCATTAGTCATTCGGCAAATGCAACTCAGAACCACAGTGAGATACCACTCCACACACATTAGGATGTGAAGAAATTGAAACCCTTGTACATTGTCAGTGGGAATGTGAAATGGTTTGGCCACAGTGGAAAACAGTTTGGGGGTTCCTCAAAAGTTAAACATATAATCATCATATGAACCAGCAATTCTACTCCTAGATATATACCCAAAAGAACTGAAAACAGGTACTCAAATACACATATTAGCATGCTCATAGCAGCACTATTTGCAAGAGCCAGAGATGGAAACAACTCAAATGTCCATTAGTAAATGAGAGGTTCAACAGATTGTGGAATACACGTACAATGGAATATTATTCAGCCATAAAAAAGCAGCACTGATACATACCACAATGTCGATGATTTGCAAAAAACATTATACTAAGAGAAAGAAGTCAGGTACAAAAGGTCACATATTGTATGATTTCATTCAAACAAAAGATCCAGTATAGATTTATCCTGAGCAACAGAAAGTAGACCGATGGTTGAGGGGTGCGGGGGTTGGGAGGAATGGGGAGTAACTGCTTAACTGGTACAAGCCTTCCATTTAGGGTAATGAAAATGTTTTGAAACTAGATAGAGGTGTTGTGAACATACTAAATCACTGCATAGTTTACTTTAAAATCGTTAATTTTTTGTTATGTGAATTTCATCTCAAAAAAAGATTTTTTTTTAAAGATCAGAAACACTCACAATTAAAATCAAGTACAGAATTTTAAAGCTTTCCTTTTAAATGTTTAAATAGGTCAAATTCAGTTTGTTGTTAAACAGTCTAAGGAAAAAGATGAGCCAGAAATAGACGAGCCTAGCCATGAATGAACTGTATTTTCTGCTTCCTAATATCTATACTTAGGTCTTCCTTTATTTAGTTAGGATACACCAGGAAATTTTTTTTTAATACAAAAACCTTAGTACAGATAGGCTCCCTTTGTGCCTTAAATTTTGACTCTTACCAGTCATTATTTTGTCTAGGATAGTTTCCCAGAATCACGTGTCTTCTCTTCCTTGAATCCAAATCTTCTGGGTTAGGCATGCCCTGTACTGTTTATGGGCTTGATTTAATTGTAGTAAAAATTTTCCCATGAACCAGCCTTTAATTACTGGCTTTCAGACAATGCCTCCCACCACTCCTCTAACTTTCCGGTAATCTTCCCTAATAAGAGTCCACGTGGCTTCTTTTTCTCCACAGCTTTGTCTACTATCACTCATGACCAAATCAAGCTGACTAGACCTGTGGGAAACTCATGCCAACAGAAGCCTCTAAATAACCGAATCTTCTAGCATCCTCTAGAACAATTCTCAACTATCATTCAACAGATTTTTGCGGAACTTCTTCATAGTGAGATACTTTGACATTCACCATTTCTTTCCTATTTTGTTCTGAACAAACATGTTAGCAGCTTTACTAAAACTATTCGATGATTTCTTCATTTTTGCTTAAAATTTTACTAGCTCCTCTCCTAAAATTGTACAGAAAACTGTGCCTGCTACGTAAGCTACAGGAAAAACAGAAGTTACGCAGTTATAAAACTCGGCTTCTTTACAGACACAATAGGGTTGGTTTACTTTAAACGAACCAACATTTACTCAGAGAACAAAGTGATTTGGTAACTAAGCTTTCTGTGCAGAGGATAAGATAGTTACAAATTTTTGAGCTTGAGTCAAAGGTGTGTCCCAAATCACAGTTGTCTAAAGAGATACCAATTATTGTAAGCAGGTCCAAATCCTGCCAGAATGTAAACCCTTTCCTAAACCCCAAGTCATTTCTTGTCTAATTATTTCAAGAGTCTTTTTAGTTGTACTATTTTTAAGGCAGAGCAGAAGGACACACAAATTAGCTGGAGGGTTTTTTAAGCCACTGATGCACTGAGTTTGATAAAACTTAATCCCATATAAAATTGCAACTACAATTTTATCCTGGTGCTTTTCTTAGACTAGGCAGAAGCCAGAAGATATTTCGTCAGGAACGAGATGAGGAGATAGCACTAGATAAAGCCTATCCCAGGCAGAGATCATCTAACAAGGGTAGTTAACAAGTATTAACCTAATTCAAGCCCAGAGCTTACCTCTACACTGAGTCTGCCATAAATAATGAAGCACTGTACCTCTTCCTTTCGACAGATACATGGTGGTCGCCTTGCCTCAAAGCTGACAATAGTTTTTCCTTTTCTGTTTAATTTCAATCCATTTTCTTGTGTCCTTGGTCAGAGAGTATATTATCTGTTTTATAGTCAAGGTGATAATTAATATACAATATCACTAATCCCTAGCGCATATGAGGACTCAAGAACGTAACAATGAAAAGTGCATCTTCATCTTCTAATTATACTGAAACTTTTATTGAACTGAAGCACAAGTAACTGATGTCCCCAAATAACCAGATTTTGTTGCCGTTGTAACATTCCATTTCCAGGAAAAAAAAAGTCAAACGATAAGTGAACTTCAGGGATTTATTAAAAGAAAGTCCAAGGCATAAACTAGAATCACTACCTATATAGACGGCTGCTCATATCTTTTCTATTCACTATCCTGAACA